CAAGGCTTTCTAAAAGCATATAAACTTTAGATAAACGATGAAACAAATTGGAACTTTAAAGTACAATTATCATTTAAGATATTATATTTATACATGGTTACACTTTATGCTGTACATTACATATTAAAAATGTTATAAAGGAGGTGATTTAGCCTGAACTTTCTATAAATGTGGTGGTGACAGTTATTATTAACAGTTTTTATTTATTACACCTCAATATTTTTTTTGATTATGTAAATGTAGTATAAACTTCATCAATTACGTGTTCGGTTCGGTCGAGGGAATTCCCCTTTTAATAAATTCAGTGAGCATGTAACGATGTCGACAGTCGGCAATATACATATATGAAGTGTGAAATCAAATTCATTTTTAAAATGTCGTTTGATAGAAACATGAAAATAGGGAGTGACATACTTTTAAAAAAGTTACTTTCATTATATTTTATGAAATACTGAAAGATCCCTGTTTAATTGAATACGAGTAAACGTTAAATCATTAAAAAAATTAATTAAACAAATCATTTAAGAATACATTTTCTTTCTCAAAATATTATCTGATTGTTTTTACAAATAATTTTACGTCAAATTCTTTGTACATATATTTATACGTTATTTTAATTTTACTGTAACTCTTCATTCGCATGTACTTTTTTGCATAACCGTGTACGTTTGTATTATTTACTATATAAATGTGCAATGAGTGTCCAAAAATGAACAACGTTAAATTTTCTTGATTAATTTATATTTGTAGAAAGTTTTATGCGACGTGAAATTATCTTATATTATATGTATATAATAATGCATGTAACTTATAAATACGGCAGATTACATATTTTTAGTCAAGATTTACTGATGTAGGTGGTTTGAGCCTGACATGGACCTTGTTGTTAAGTTATCATACTTTACCATTTAAAGAAAGATCAGCTTCAACTAAGATAACTACTAACGACCCTTTACAATGGTTGAAGCTTTTACGAAAACCGCCATTCTGGTAATTTATTAATAAGTTATGAAAATAAGATTTCTTTTTACATAAATGATAATGTAAAATATTAAAGAAAATACATAAATTCATTCAAGATTGCAAATTTTAGGTCGTGTGTGATAGGACATGCTTGCCAAAATAATTGTTTTTTTGTATTATTATCATGGATGCCAACATATTTTCATGATACATTTCCTGAAGTGAAGGTAATAAATTACGATAACGAAAACACCTTATTACCGTAGCCGTTCATTTTTGTAATAGCAATTACAACAATAGTTGTAATACAATTACAAGTTTGAATTGAAGTAACACATATGGAGTGGATAGTTGATTATTATTACAAGTGTATTTAAGAATGAGCATGAATGAGTAAATCTTCTAATTATATTAGTGTTACTATCTCTACTTTAGATAATAATATTTTTTATTTGAATTTTTATAACTAATTTAATTGAATTTCTTCAGAGTTGGGTTGTAAATATGGTACCATGGTTATCAATGTTACCTTGTACATTTTTGGGTAAAGCCCTTTCTGAAAAAATACTCAAGGCAGGGTATTCTGTAACTATAACACGTAAAATAATCGAAACAATATGTTTTGTTACTGAAATAATTAGCCTACTATTCTTAGGTACGTGTATAATTATATTTTATAAAAAATGATCAGGAAAGATAAACTCAATACTTTTTCAGCAAAAGCGGAAACTTTTCAAAGTGCAATAATTTGTCTTGCATTTATAATTGGTGGATCAGGCTTTCATAACAATGCAATTGCTGTAAATCCTTCAGATCTTGCACCAAAACATTCTGGCAGTGTATTTGGATTAATGAATACTGTCGGTGCTATTCCTGGTATGGTAGAAACAATCATATGTTTTTTTATTTTTATAAAGAAAGTAATAACAATGTTCTTGCAGGATTCCTGGGAGTATATTTTGCAGGACATATTTTACATGTAACACACAGCTGGCCTGTTGTATTCATATTTATTGCTATAATTGATACACTAGGATGTGTAATATATTTATTATTCGGATCTGGTCAAGCAATTATATAAAGTATTATCTAATGTTTCTCTGTTTCTTAGAAAATTTAGAAACTATAATT